ATAAAGACTGGATTTAGTCTAACGTCCATTGTGATGGAGAATGGTTGGGGAAAATCATGGGATTTATTTTTTTGACTCAGCACTAAATATTAAGAAATAAGTTTCTCCTCTTAAGAAAAGCACACAGTTGAATATTGCCCAGGAGTATCAACCACTTGGGAAAGAGTGTAAAAAAGAGGTATCACTTGGGTTTAAGGAATTCTGTTCTTTTCTCTGTCACTGCAAAATCCTTTGCTCCTCCCAAATAAGCCCCACTGGCACAGATACACCTTTCATGGGAAAGGAGACACTGCTCCTGTTTAATAGGCAGGAGTACAGGAAGCTGCCTTACACTAATTTGGCCCACAAATTCATCTAGTCAGGACAGAGCCAAGACATTTTGCTGCCTGAGGCAGAGTGGCAAATGGTTCTCCACGCCTCCCCCTCCAGCTCATGGTGCATAATATCCGAGGCCAGTCAAGTAATTTTGGCAACTGAGGCAGAGCTCCCCACAAGTGCCCATCACCCTCCTTGGGAGTACAACTACAATAACAAGAAATTAAACAACTGAAAATTTGCTGCCCCTATTATGACACACAAAAGAAGCTGTCTGAGGTGGCTAACTCAATTTGTCTAATGGTATGGCTGGCCCTGCATCTAGCTCAGTACTATCTCTACTGACTGGCAGTAGTTTCCAGAGTTTCGAACAAGAGATGTCAAGGATTGAACCTGGGATCATTTGCATGCAAAGCATGACCATAACATCCTATTTCTTACAGTAGCCAATCATATGCCCCAGGGAAGCCCAGAAGCAGATCATGAAGGCAATAGCTTACTCCTGCTCCCCAGCAACTGGTATTTGACAGAAACCTTATGACTAGTAACCATTGGTAGATCTATTCTCTATTTATTCATCTAATCCACTTTTAAAATCACCTAAGCCCATCATGACATTCAGAGGCAGCAAAATTCATAAAGTAAATTATGTACTGTGAAATAGTATGTTTCCATGATATCAGTTTTACTTAGGGTTAAATTAAACAACAGTCAATGTGATTTGCCTCTCCTCCTCCTCAACTTCCATTATTAGTTGACAGAGCTGCACCGATGTCACACCACATATTGTATCATACACTACAAACATTCTGCTTCTTCTTGGCCCTTAAAAACCCCACAGTATTTTTCTTAACTATTTTTAAAAGAATTAAATTTAAAGCGGGGGGGGGGGGGGGAATAAAACAAATGTGCCATTTAGAAAAGAAATGCATTATGGCTTCTAGTGGTCCAAGATTACCCATAAAAAAGAAGATCCTATAATTAAAAAATGTTGTTACAATGTCCTTAGTATATTTAATATAGGCCTGCTTTCTTTAGGACAATGTTCCCTCCAAGGCAGATTTCACAGAAAACAGCTCCCACCTCTGGACTGAAGTTAGATCAGACTGAGACTTAACTTTGTGAACTATGTTGGGAATTGAAGCCATATGATCTACTCATCATACAGATGGGAAAAGTAAGCAAGGGCAATAGGATCCACATTTCTTGTTTCCACTGGAGTAAGGACCTAACAAACAGAAGACATCAAGAAGAGGTGGCAAGAATACACAAAGGAATTATACCAAAAATATATGGATGTCTTGTACACCCCAGGTAGAGTGGTTGCTGACCTTGAGCCAGACATCCTGGAGAGTGAAGTCAAATGGGCCTTAGAAAGCACTGCTAATAACAAGGCCAGTGGAAGTGATGATAGTCCAGCTGAACTATTAAAATTTTTCAAGGATGATGATGCTGTTAAGGTGCTACACTCAATATGCCAGCAAGTTTGGAAAACTCAGCAGTGGCCAGAGGATTGGAGAAGGATCAGTCTACATCCCTGTAGTAAGCAGAGCTATCCATCCCCCCCCCATTCCTCCTAGACACGGGCAGGACTTGGCCAGGAAGGGGGAAAGAGCTAGGTGTTGCAAATCACAAGCCAAATGGTAAAGCTGCCACCACCTCCTTTCCTGGACCACCCTCGAATGGGGTTCAAGGAGGAGAACCCCCCCCTTCAATATTTACCGGATTTGCCCAGCCCTGAGTAACTTTACTGTGATGCAGACAGAAATTCAACAGGTAGGTGTCCAAACAGTATGTACCAGTTTAGCTTCCCCGAGCAAAGGCACAGAGTACAAAAGACAAAGTTTTCCAAGTTTATTGAAAAAGCCACTCAAAAAGTTGCACATTTCTTAGAAGGTTACAAACAAACAAAAATAAATACATTGTAAAATATAACTAGCTAAAACCATACTCACGCAGCAACAATAGTTCAAAACACAGCAAGTAGTCAAGAGTCCTTTCACTGGTCAAACACCCCCAGGTGAAGTACCAGGGCAAGATGTTCTACCCTTTGCATCTGAACTCCCAAATCCTTTAACCTTGAAAACTCAAGTGGAAGACAGGTTAGGGACCAATCATTTCTTTAGGTTAATTACCAATTTACCAATGGCTGTATGAGGAAACTATATCTCCTAATTGTCAGGAGACAGCACAGCTGAACTTTGTTTGGACTCAGAGACCTTGAGATCAAAAGGCTCTTCCTCAGTTCCCAGGCCTCTCTTATGCGTACCAGGCTCCCAAGTTGTAAATTACTCAATAGCCTCCTGTACCTTTTTTACAACCCAATCCACACTCAGGCCCCCAGCTGTACCAAGGTCTACAAATCAGATAACATCTCATCCTGCCTAGAGTCAAGATGTAATTGACTCACACCTCTAGAGACAGGGAGCTTTACATTTAAAGAGAGCAAACACCCATTCCCCAGAAAGCCACAGTTTTATCTCTCCCTCAATGCCTCACTCCCACGTGAACCAGCGCCCGACACACCAAGATTTCCCAATTTCACTACAATCCCAATCCCAAAGAAGGGCAGTGCCAAAGAATGCTCCAGCTACCGCACAACTGCACTCATTTCACACGCTCGAAAGGTTATGCTTAAAATTCTACAAGGAAGGCTCAAGCAGTATGTGGACCGAGAACTCCCAGAAGTGCAAGCTGGATTTCGAAGGGGCAGAGGAACCAGAGACCAAATTGCAAACATGTGCTGGATTATGGAGAAAGCTAGAGAGTTCCAGAAAGACATCTACTTCTGCTTCATTGACTATGCAAAAGCATTTGACTGTGTCGACCACAGCAAACTATGGCAAGTTCTTAAAGAAATAGGAGTGCCTGATCACCTCATCTGTCTCCTGAGAAATCTCTATGTGGGACAAGAAGCTACAGTTAGAACTGGCTATGGAAAAACTGATTGGTTCAAAAATGGGGAAAGGAGTATGACAAGGCTGTATATTGTCTCCCTGCTTATTTAACTTATATGCAGAATTCATCATGTGAAATGCTGGACTCGATGAATCCCAAGCCGGAATTAAGATTGCCGGAAGAAATATCAACAACCTCAGATATGCAGATGACACAACCTTAATGGCAGAAAGTGAGGAGGATTTAAAGAACCTTTTAATGAGGGTGAAAGAGGAGAGCGCAAAATATGGTCTGAAGCTCAACATCAAAAAAACTAAGATCATGGCCACTGGTCCCATCACCTCCTGGCAAACAGAAGGGGAAGAAATGGAGGCAGTGAGAGATTTTACTTTCTTGGGCTCCATGATCACTGCAGATGGTGACAGCAGTCACGAAATTAAAAGACGCCTGCTTCTTGGGAGAAAAGCAATGACAAACCTAGACATCATCTTAAAAAGCAGAGACATCACCTTGCTGACAAAGGTTCACATAGTTAAAGCTATGGTTTTCCCAGTAGTGATGTATGGAAGTGAGAGCTGGACTATAAAGAAGGCTGATCGCCAAAGAATTGGTGCTTTTGAATTATGGTGCTGGAGGAGACTCTTGAGAGTCCCATGGACTGCAAGAAGATCAAACCTATCCATTCTCAAGGAAATCAGCCCTGAGTGCTCACTGGAAGGACATATCCTGAAGCCGAGGCTTCAATACTTTGGCCACCTCATGAGAAGACTCCTGGAAAAGACCCTGATGTTGGGAAAGATGGAGGGCACAAGGAGAAGGGGACGACAGAGGACGAGATGGTTGGACAGTGTTCTCGAAGCTACCAACATGAGTTTGACCAAACTGCGGGAGGCAGTGGAAGACAGGAGTGCCAGGCGTGCTCTGGTCCATGGGGTCACAAAGAGTCAAACACGACTAAACAAACAAGGCAAGGGGTAACGGGAGTTGTGATCCAGCCATATCTGGAGGGCCACAGGTTTCCCATCTCCACATTAGACAGAATGAGGTCGTCACCTGGTGTTGGGTGTTATGAAAAGGGCAGCAAACTGTCCTTGTTTAATGTTTGTTGTTGGTCTTGAATGCATTAAGTATTTTATTTGGCATGGGAATCAACATAAGCAGGACACTTCCTTCTCAATGCTTTAAGTCCCCACCCACTCATATTTATTTAATATTTAAGTCACAGGTTAATAGCAACATTGTATCAGTGAAGTTATTTCTAAGAGTGGTGAGATCATCACCATGTTGTGATGGTGTTATCAATAATGGTAGTATTTTAGGATTTAAATTTTTTTAAAAAAATTATTCCTAACAAAACCCCAACAACTATTCCAAAATCACATTTTTGCTCTACCTAGAAAATTATTTCCTCTCTGCTGTCCGACCACAGGGATGCTAAAATCTTGTCTTTCTCTATTGATGTCTATGACTGTGACCTTTGTTCTGCCCCCAGGAACAAAAACACTGATTCTCTCATTGAACCCGCAAATGACCCGTCGAGAAAATAACATGGTTTACTCTACATCTTTTCTTACGTCTGCGAAATGTGGAGCCGCTCTACGCGTCCCGTTTTTCTACTGCTCCGCTTCACATTGGTAACCGAACACGGCTCTATGGCATTTTGCAAAGCGGCTACAGGAGCATGCTGGGAGCTGTAGTACAGCGTCACCTCCCGGGCCTTCTCCAAAGCATGCTGGGTAAGGAATCAAACCGCCGTTTGCCACACGCAACCGTCTAATACAGAATACAGTAGTTTTGAGCGAAGCCTCTCGCTTCCCGGCATGCCGCGCGAGAGAAACGGGAACAGGGCGTCCGCGCGGTGCACCTTGGGGGTAGTAGTTCTGTTCCCAGGGTGGGAGGAGCGGCGTCGACTTAAAAGTCAAGGCCGGGCGGTTTCCTTCCTCCTCTGAGGATTGTCGTACCGATCGCCGCGGCCCGTTTTTCGCAAACCGGCGGGCTGAGGAGACCGACGACAGCGGAGGAGGCAGAATGGCGCGGCAGGGCAGCCGCGGGGGCGCGGAAAGCAAGAAAATGGTAATGGCGGTGGGGGGACTCGAGGGGGCGGCGGCAGGTCTTATGAGGAGGAAGGGAGCCCTGAGGGGCGGGAGGGAGACGCCTCCGCCATGGACAGCTAGGAGGCTTAGCGGAGAGGCTTAACTTCTTCTACCTTGTGCATTTTCCTCCCACCCTGAACAGGGCCATGTTTGTTCCTTCATTCCTCCTTTTATTAGCTTACCTCTGTCGAAGGCACGAAAGAGGATAAAGTCCGAATAAAACTATTCCGAAAGAGCGGGTTTGCTCACTTCAGTTCCCCCTAGACAGGCAGCTGCTATTATTATTCTTGTTGTTGTTATTGTTGTTGTTATTCCCTTGTAATAACACCTGCAATTTGAATTGTAGGCATAGATTGAATTGTGAGGGAGGAGGCCCTGCTTGTAGGCTCACGATTTAAACACCACCATGCAAAAAGGACACCCCTGTATGAACAGGGAAGAGGAAACTCAGGGTTGGAGTAGCTGCAGCTTTGCCCTCCCGTGGATGGAGCCAGGCTGGTCTCCCCACTTCCCATCATGTTCTTCTGTCTGGGAGGCCAGAGAGTACACAGTCTCTTGGTGGCCCTCAGCTTCCTGGCAGTGGCAGCAACCTGATTGTGCCTCCCATCACCTCTGTGTGGCCATTTGGCCATTTAGATGTCATTCAGACACCAGGTTACAAAAAAAAAAGCCTCATCAGGCATTTCAGAGCTAATGGATCAAATCACTTTAAAATTAAGTTGATAATAATGTAATTTTCATTATGAATGTTTTAAATATTATTTCATACCATGTTTTATATTACCTTATTTTGTTGTAAATGCCTCTGTGACATTATTTAGGTCAAGGGCAGTGTAGTGGTTTCTTAATAAATGCTTACAAGCATCTGGGGATATGCACTGGTTGGAGCTTTTTTTTTTTTTTTACACCCTCATTTTGAAAGTACACTATCACGCTATACAAATAGCATACAAAAGTGGCTAGTAGCTATTGATAGCCTTATCCTCCATAATTGTCTTCTGAAGCCATCCAAACTGGTGGCTATCACTGCCTCTTGTGGGAGTGAATTCTATAGTTTAACTATGGGCCGTGTTCTTTTTGTCTGTCCTTAATCTTCCAGGGCAGTAAAGTATTAGGTCTATGGGGCTGTGCCAAACCCTGTGAACTGAGAAGCCCCCTGTTCAAATTTCACCTCAATCATGGATTACTGAGCTGGTCATAGACAAATAGTGCTTTTTAATCTTCCCATCAGTATTATAGGGTAAATGATCCTACTGACCTACCTGATAGGGTTGGTGTAAGGATTTCCATGATAATAGAGTGAAGAGTTTACTAATCTCGGCTGTCCATGCCTTAATCCTGTAAAGTCAGCATCTTGATTATAAACCCATTTGCAAGCCACTATTTCTTGACTTCCCCAACTGTATTATTATTCTTCATTCATACACTGCCCTTCACCTGGAGATTACAGATCAGTTCACAACATAAAAATATGGAGAGTGTGTGGATAATACTGACCTACCTACGTTATAGGATTGTTGAAAGAATTACTGAGATAATGGTTATGCAGACACAGAGAAAGCATAAACTATCCTTCATTTAACTATGGACAAAAATCCCTGCATTACTGATCTGTATTAATGAGATGTGGGTAGATGAGCTTGGTGGAGCTGAACTTTCTTAGATTTGTCCACCTGGAGTTTGGATGTAGCAGCCACTTAGGATTAATGGAGGAGGGTTGCAGTGATTTCTAAGAATTTCATCTCCCTCTACTAGACTTATTGTGAAGATGGGTAGGTCATGGGCACTTTTTCAGTCTGAAGGCCGCATCATTTCATAGGCAATCTTCTGGCAGTGGATTTGAATGTGTGAGCAATTGAGACAAATCAGAGATTCTGTTGGTGCCTGCCATCCATCCCACTGACTAACCATCTCCCTATCTGAGCTGACAGAAGTGGCCTGAGACTAGATGTTGAAGTCCCCTTAGATGGTGGTGCTGGAGGACCTTGAAACACAGGCCGAGGCAGTGACTGTGGACTTCATGTCTGCCATGACAGTTCTTGAGCTGTCACAGCATATAATCCACCTGATTCTCATGCTAGAGATCTCTGGATCTGGTGCTATCATCTGGGCAGGAAGATAGTGGGGGGCTTTCCTTTAACTGTCTTGTCTTACACCACTTCGGCCAGAGCTTTAGGCTTACTATGGTGGTGTTTTTCTCTCTATAGATGGGAGGGGCTGTTTAAATGGTCCATCCCTAGAGGTTGATGGGTCGTGATACATTCTTAAATGCCCTTGGGCAGGTTCCACCAAGCATGGCTAGTGCTCCTGCCAACATCTTGGTTGCTCTTTGGAATTTCAAGATTACTTGGGCAGGTGACACAACTGCTCTTAAGTGCCCTCTGCTGCAGACCATGGTTCACTAGGTAGATGGGAGCAAAGAAATGGGAGTTGAATAGGCCTCTAGAACGTGGTGTAGGAAGGCTTGAACTGGAACTGGTTAAGTATAAATTAGAGCTCATTTTGGATCCTACTCTGTGGCAGTGATCATCTTCATAGTGCTGTGCAGTGGAGCTTTTCCATGTGGCATAAGTTATTCTCCATTTTGGCCAACAAGATGTAATGGATTCCTTGGAGAAAGAGTAGATCTCCAAGTAACCCATCCCATCATCTTGTTGGTTTGTCAGGCACTTGGGATATTAAATTGTTTGTGTTTGTATTGTGCTTTGCTTTATGTGCAGGTCCATTAAATTAATTTTAGAGGATTGTACTAGATAAGGAGTCAGTAGAATCTGAAATAGGTAGCATTACCTAGTTTCTGGAGAGCACGTAATCCCCCAAAGTGAAGTCTCCTAGTCTTCAGTTTTAGGATCCCTCTGTTGAAGAGCTAAATTTGGTCTTCTTCAAAACATACTTCAAAATACTTAGGGCACACCCACACTTCCATTTGCTTCAATGCTTCCCCCCCAGCGCAACCTGCTGTTTACCACTGATTCGGAACAAACATCAATAGAGTTTTCTCTGGATTGATGTTTGCTTCGATTTATCGCTAAACGGTTTTTCCATGTTAACGTGGCAGGGCAAAGGCAAAACCACTCAAACCCATGGCTCTAGAGTATGGGACAAGCAGAAAAAATGCTCAGATCTGTGCTTTCTAAGGCACGGGGCAAGCGGAAGTGTGGATGAGCCCTTACTGTCAGCCCTGATGGAAATAAAGGATGCTTTATCTACATTGTGTGAAGTGGCCCTTACGTTTATGCAGGATCTCTGAAAATTATGTGAATGGGCAATCATGCTGATTTGTTACCTGATTTTTAAGCTGTAGTGAGATAGTGCTGCAAACTCATTTTCTTCATGTTAATAAGCAGGCCATGCTGACTGGGGCTGATGAGAGTTGCATTCTAAAACATTTGGAGCATTCCATGTTGGTGAATGCTGCTTTAGATTATATAGAAATATGTTGTGTTATGTGCTAAATGTTTTAATTCAGGCTGTGTGTGTGTGTGTGTGTGTGTGTTGGTCTTGGTGCCTTTCTCACGTTTCATTCTTAAGTCTCTTTCTAACCTGGTTCTGTGATAGCAGTTCAACAAAAATGGGGATATTGATACAAAACCTTAAATTATGATACTGTGACAAATCTCCAAAGAATGTTCGGGGGGGGGGATCACTGCTGGATTTATTTGGTCTTTTTTTCCCCTTTTCATCGGGCTCTAACCCTGCGAATATCCACTATTCTAAAACTGTAGCAGGATTGTGGCCCTTTAAAATGATCTAGTAGAGTTGTGAATAGTTGGCAAACACGTACAGAAGCTATTTTAATTTGCTTAATGCTAATATAGCTTAATGCTAATACATTTCATTTGTGGCCATTGCTGTCCTTTGGTGCTTAAGGTGCAATGCTTATTTTATTAACTCCTCTCTTGACCTTAGGTCAGTGATGGCCGTACTTGGCCTTCCAGCTGTTTTGGGACTACAGCTCCCATCATCCTTATCTTAGAGGACCAGTGGTCAGGGATGATGGGAATTGTAGTCCCAAAACATCTGGCCAGCCAAGTTTGGCCATCACTGCCTTAGGTGTACTTAAGGGCCTAAGTGCTGCTTTTCCTCCCCAACAGTAATGGGATTATGATACTTGACAGGATTAAAGCATGTGCCATTGAAGCATGTGTAAACTGCAACTTTTTACTGTTTTCCAGTTAATTGCAGTGGCCAACCAGCTTCACAACTTAGGCAGTCTGTTTTTATCAGGTAGCCTTTTAATAATGCTGTTGGAAGAGGTTTTTGCACATTTGGAACAAGAGTGGATTTGATTTATATCAAATCGATTTAAATCACTAGTCAGTAAGACTTGATTTAAATCATATTTTTTTTACAGAGTGATTCAATCTTGCTGGTATAAGCTTAGTATTTACAACCAGATGAAGGTGTCATTTTTTGAATAATAAATTTTCAGAGTAGTTTTTACAGTTATATCAAAAATTACTGATTTGGTTATACTATTAGAAATACATAGACAGATAATTATGAAATTATTGTGAGGTTTAATAATTTAACTGTTTATAATTGGACAACTTTTCTGCTGTACTTTACTGGAAGGAGAAAAATAATCATTTCCTTAATAACAATTTAAACAATTTATTTAAGCAGAACAATAACATTATAGAATATGTATCCATGTTTGTTAACTGATGTGGGTAAACTTTTTTTTAAAAAAAACAAAACTTAGACTGAGTTTTAGCACACATGAAAAACTTAAAACAAATCCTTATTTCCTGATGAATAGCCTTTGGACTATAATGTAAGTTAAATAGAAAAATATATTTAGATATATTTTTCCTCCAAAAGAATTTTATTTTAAAAAGCCGATTTAAATCTAAAAAAATCCATTTTTAATTTATTTTTAAACCATTGATTTTTATCCACCCGGCTTGGACCATAAACTTCCAAGTTGTTTTTCGTTCATGTCCTTGTTTTTTTGTAAGATTATTATTGAACAATTGATCCAAAATGGTGAACTTATATGTGCACCAACTTAAATTTCTTCTTTTTACTACCTAGTGATAGGTGCATTGAAGGAGATTGGACTAGATAACCCTTGGAGTTCCTTCCAACTCCACAACTCTAGGAAATGCTCAAAATTTATATAATTTAATGACTATACTTGGATTGGTAGCAGCCAGGCATTCTTCATAAACTGTTTTGTTCAACTGCCTTGCCAATGCGTTTACTAACCTGTTAATTCTCTTTTTTGCTTGTTAAGTTCCTTCCCCATACATGAACTGGCTGAGTCTTCTGATTTTCACTTTTTAAGTCCTGTTACTCTCTAAAACAGACCCTTCTTATTTCAAAGATGAATCTGGGATTGTAAGACGGTTGGCCTTTTCTGCCTTTTTAAAACCAAGCAAAACCAGCATCTCTTAGCCTTCTGAGAGATGTCTTGATGGCTGGCTTCATCAGTTGCTGCTAGGTAGAAATAGCATGTTTGAATCCTAAATAACATCTAACGTACCTTAATTCCAAATTTGACTTGACTCTTTCTTCTGCACTTTGACTTTGCGTTGAGCTTGTGAGAACGTGGTGTGATCTGTGTTGTCTCACTAAACTCTGACATTGTCTCTTTTTTTCTCCCTTTCTGCTTGCCTGCTGCTTTCATTCTGTAGTATTGGTATTTGCCATTCATTTCACCTTCCGCATCTATGCATCTCATGGTAGGTGATAGGTTTCTTAATCTGAGACTAGACATTTTGCTGTATAAAATGAAACCTTAATAAAACCTAAAGCAGACCATACTTTATATAGCTGACACTTACTTCACAGACCTTTCAATAATCCTGACAGGTTTCAGTTTTTAACAGGAAGGTATTTGTGTAACTACAATTCCGATAATCAAAGGATTTAATTTGGTTGTATATTTCACTTACTTCATGCTTGGGGAAATGTGAGGGAGACATTATAGTTTGTTCTTTGTTTTGTTGATGCTATGCACATCTCTACTGCACATCCATCCTAACACCAAGGAGGCTTTGTTGTTCCTTTGAGCTCTTAAGCAGAATGTTACGTTACAAATGCTGAAGATGGAATAACTGATTTTGATGAGCAGCTGAAGATTGTCAAACTTCTGATCACGTTAGTAGCCCCCACCCCCAAGACAAATGTGTTTTAAATTTGAAGCTGGAGACACCAGCAGAATTCAGTGCTTAGTGTGTTCCTATGAGGCTGAAGCTTCCTTGCCCATTTCATTTCTCCATGCCAATCCAAACTGTTCTTTGTGGCAGTTCCTAAACATGTGTAGATTGTCTTATCTTGGCCTAAATTAAATGCATTTTGAATTTATCTAGAGTTCGGAGCTCTTCACTCTGACTTACGGCGCTTTGGTCACTCAGCTGTGCAAGGACTATGAGAATGATGAAGATGTCAACAAGCAGCTTGACAAAATGTAAGTAAACCAGTGGAGGCAGAGTGGAATCTTTACAAAATATCAGTAGCTAGGGGTGATGGGTGATCTCTTTCTGTGGGACATCCACTTGGCAGAATTAGAGATGTGAAGGCCCAGAAAAAAGCTGGGAAAATTCAGAGGCGGGGAGAGACATTCTTTCCTGTTTCACACTGGATAATTGTTTCCCCAAAAAAGCCTGGGGAGGAGGGCAGGGTTTTTTCCATGGTTTCAAAATTTCCAGAATTTTTACATCTCTAGGCAAAATTAATCTTATTTTTCTGAATTCACTGGAGTTTTTGAAGAAAAGGGAGGGAACAGACTTTCTCCCTTCTACTTTCTATCCCTATAATGTTAGACTCAAGTTGAACTCTCTTACACTGTCAGTTTTATAGCATGCTGCTCTTTGGCTGCCTTGACAGGGGCTACAACATAGGCGTTCGACTCGTTGAAGATTTCCTGGCCCGATCCAATGTCGGGAGATGCCATGACTTCCGAGAAACTGCAGATGTAATAGCTAAGGTGATGCCTGTCTTTGATTATTCCCCTCTGTTTCCAATATACTAGCCTATTATAAGATATCCATTGTGGGGATATAGATGTCAAAGGACACAATTTTCCTGCCACATAACATGTTTCATAATGGCATCATGCTGAACCTTTTAATGGCAGCAACATATGCCTTCTTTCTTATACCTGTCTAAAAACACAATCTAGGATCAAATGTTGCTGGACCACACTGTTTTCTAGGAGAGGATGTATTGGATCTGGCATGGGCAAATGCTTTCTACTGCTTCTGATCAAATTTTCATTTCCTGTTTAATGCAGCCTTCCCCAATCTGGTGCCCTTCAGTTACTTTGAACTATACCTTCCATTAGCTACAGCTAGCACAGCCATGTTGGCTAGGTCTGAATGGAATTATAGTCCCAAACATCAGGAGGGCGCAAGGTTGGGGAAGCCTGGTCTAATGTGTAGAAAGAGGTTTGCATCAGGTATGTTATGTAGCAGAATTGCTTCTGGTTCTTTGACCAGATCTTTAGTTACCCGTAAAAGAGTTTCATGCTAAACATTGTGCTGTGTAAGCCTAGTCCTTTGTGCTTGTCTTGTTTGGCAGGTGGCATTTAAAATGTACTTGGGTATCACCCCGAGCATCACAAACTGGAGTCCAGCGGGTGATGAATTCTCCCTTATCCTGGAAAACAACCCACTGGTGGACTTTGTGGAGCTTCCTGACAACCATTCATCTCTCATTTACTCTAACCTATTGTGTGGTGTGCTGCGAGGAGCCCTGGAAATGGTGAGGAAAGGGGGATACTAATTGCAGCAATGGTTAGACATACTTTCTCAGTGATGGGATGCATAGAAAATTGGTGGGGGAGGTTGGGTTCTGTATCTCATTACAGTCCAGATTCAGATTTACAACTATATTTATTCACCTATTGGGGAACAATAAGGGGGAGAGAATCACTAGTGTCATAGACCATGGAGGATAATCAAATGAGAAGGAATAGAGGGCTGTTCAAGGCCACTCACATGCCAGCGTCGCCTGATAAATAAAAAAACATTCCAGTGCTGTCCTAGTTTCAGAAAGTTTTATAAAGCGTTATATGTTTGGGTTCTTCCTGGCAATCCTTGCAGCTTTATCCTTTTATTTTAACAAAAACTTTGATTCTCAAACTATTGAACTGCCATATAATAACAGTCAGGGTGAGAGTGAAGGATTGTGGATTGTGTTTTTAACTTATAACTGACATTTATTGATTTCAACCTACGCCAGGGTTCTGTGACAATGCATGGAATATTAATTGTGTGTGTATAATAAAATATAATTACCGTATTTTTCGCCCCATAGGACACACTTTTCCCCCTCCAAAAATGAAGGGGAAATGTGTGTGCGTCCTATGGGGCGAATGCAGGCTTTCGCTGAAGCCTGGAGAGCGAGAGGCATCGGTGCGCACCGACCCCTCTCGCTCTCCCGGCTTCAGGAAGCTATCCGCAAGCCTTGCAAGCCCAGCGGGAGTTCCCGCGGGCTCACAAGGCTTGCAGGCAGCAGCCTGCAGCCCCGGCGAGTGTCCGCAAGCCTTGCGCGCCTGGCGGGAGGTCCCACCGGGCGCGCGAGGCTTGGGGCGGCAGCCTGCCGCCCGAAGCACAGGGAGCCCTCCGGAGGGCTCCCCGTGCTTCGGGCGAGTGTCCGCAAGTCTCGCGCGCCCGGCGGGAGGCTTGGGGCGGCAGCCTGCAGCCCGAAGCATGCGGAGCCCTCCGGAGGGTGCCCGTGCTTCGGGCAGGTGTGCGCAAGGCTTGGGGCGGCAGCCGCCGCGGGGGGGGGAATAATTTTTTTTTATTCATTCCCCCCCCCCCAAAAAAACGAGGTGCGTCCTATGGGCCGGTGCGCCCTATAGGACGAAAAATACGGTATACAAATAATAGTCACTATGGTCAGTGACTGAAATAAATCAATTCATTCATTCATTCATACAAAGGATATATTATGAATGCCACTTTGAGCTCTTTGGAGGAAAGGTTGGATATAAATGAAATAAACAAGATATTCTGTTCTTTCTGGTAGACATGTAGAATACATGTAGCCATTGGTCTGCAAATTCAGAGTTTTCAGAGTTAAATTAATGGAGTTGTGTGTACTAAATTCCAGTTGCCTGGAAGCAGAAGAGAGGGTGGTCAGGATGGCACCCACTGATGTACAGTGGTACCTCAGGTTAAGAACTTAATTCGTTCTGGAGGTCCGTTCTTAACCTGAAACTGTTCTTAACCTGAAGCACCACTTTAGCTAATGGGGCCTCCTGCTGCCGCTGTATATAGAATCACAGAGTTATATTGTTGGAAGAGACCGTGAGGGTCATCTGGCCCAACTCCTTACAATGCAGGCATCTTTTTTGCCCAGCACTGAGCTCCAACCCTATGATTAAGAGTCTAATACTTCAGTTCTATGGGGTGTGGGAGTTTGCCTGTACTTTGTGATCTTTGTTGACAGAACATTGGCTAGGATTTTGGTTAACTGGGGAATGTAAGAGCCTTCTGGGCTAGAGAAGGGTTTTTTGTGCTGCTGTAAATCTTAGGTGAGGTTAGTAAAGGGTGGGGATAACCTTTTGGCAGAATAATGGGGTAGAGTTTCTTAACCTCTGTCCTTGCAACAAGATTGAAAGAGGCCAAGCAATTTGGGGAACTGTCCTAGATAAATATTTCAAAAGTATGTGATTTTTCTCTCCCATATCACAGGTTCAGATGGCCGTGGATGTCAAATTTGTCCAGGACACATTAAAAGGAGATGGAGTCACTGAAATAAGGATGAAATTTATCAGACGGATTGAAGATAATCTTCCTGTTGGAGAGGAGTGAGTCCCAGAGCATCGTCCATACTGAACTGAGAGGATAAGCCAGCTCTACCTGGAATTTATGGGAATATAGTGCCCTCTGTGCTTTCAGATGCTCTGACTGGTTAATTAAGATGATGTTCTCCTTTATTTTCTTAGGAAGCAACTGTTTGAATTCTTCTGCTTTAATTCCACAGATTTGTATTACAGGCCCTTGTAGGGCTCATAGGACACTTTTCATACTCATCAGAAACATAGACACCCATTTCTAGTTTCCATGTTTGGCTCTGTGCAAATATACAGTACATCACAACTGTGTCTCCTAGAACCTTGGTGCCAGAATTAGACCCCAGCTGCAGATAACTGGTATTTTCTTGCAGCATGTGAAGAGCATCAACATCGCACCCTCCCTTTCCTGCTTGTTGGGGATAGGGGCCAGAACTCTTGTTTGTCTACAGAAAGCAGACAGCCATTTTTTGATAGCACAGAATATAGCATATAATTTGAAATAAGTTTGGGGTTCCAGGTGGAACAAAATGGCTTAGTTTTGCAGATAATGAAAAACCGGCCAATTTAAATAACATCTATCACAAAACAAGAGCAATCTCCATTTAAACACTGTTGGTAGGGACTTAGTATGAACACACTCTCGGTGAGCATCTTCCCTCTCCCCATTGCCAGAGAAGAAGATGGAGGGATAGTCACAATCCTTTCTGGTTCATTTCAGACCTTGAAGGATACTTCGTAACAGCTTCCTGTGTTAGCAGGACAGAATCTGTATAGTCTGGATGCATTGAGTATCTCCTCAGTCTTCCTGGTCTTGTACATAACTGGCTAGGCAAAAGTTGCAACCCACCAAGAGCAGGTCTGTATATTTAAGTAATGTAGAAAAAGCTTCTAAACTATAATAATCTGAAGGTTCCTTCCTTCCAGTAGTTTGATTTATATAATTTATTAAAGGGTAGTAAAATGCAAGCTTGTATTCTGAAAGATCCAGTTAGGCAGGGGTTCTAAGGTGTTGCAACTGGTTCATATGCCAGGTCAGTGGTGGAAGGTCAAGCATACATTCTTTTTGAAAGAATGTTTGTCAAGATGGATAGCCCGTCTTTCATGTGTAGATCAATATGCTAAGGTCTGTGTGCAATGGATCCTTGCAAGGGAGACTACTCTAGGATTGTTTTATAGGGAAAATGAATGCCAGAAAGCATATAGGTATTAAATATGTGGCCCAGGTTTTAAGCCAGTAGCGATGTTTGGCTGTCGTATCTGTGTATGCCATGAAGGTCTAAAATTTCCACCAGGCAGGATAACTGCCATGTTTTCACTAAAATGCAGAAGTCGTCATTGGTTTGAGTATCTTCTAGAGATCTTCTAGGTTAAAAATAGAAACTTCTATCATTCTTGAGGAGGCACAATGTACCCATTAGCAATACCTGTTATTTGAAATTACATAATGTATTTGGCACAAACTGACATTTACAGTCTGCAGTATAAGGAGTTCTGAGTGCAAAATATTAAGAGAAATTGAGTGGAGGTATGCGGACAGTGGATTTTACAATTTGTGTACTCACTGGTTGGACAGCATCTTAAAACACTGCAGGATCAGCTGTAACTAGACAGTGACTCAATCTTGGGGAAGGTGGTATGGAACAAAGCTGCTTTACCAACACATGCGAGAATGGAACTTGAAATACTGCATCTCCAGGACTGTGAGGCCTTTGTCAATGGCCTGATGATTTATGTTGATGATATTTGCCTAGTCCTTTTTAGTGTCTTTCTCTACCCCCCTCCCCAAATCTGCCTCTGAGAGGGGAGAGGAACTCCTGTTCTACCTTGGACTAACTTTTGCTACATTTGTTGGGTTGGTAAAGGGAAAGCCTTCCTTCCTTTTTTGCATTGTGATAAATATTTATCAAATGTTGGTCCACCTAGTGTTAAAATTTTGTGTCTATTTCAATGAAAATTCAATATTCCTATTTCTGAAAAATTCATTCCTACAGTTGGAGGAAGCATTTTGACACTGTTCCTTCGGTGATACTTTGAACCTTGTTTTAAAACAGAGCTGCACTGAGTAATAGCTGTTGGGTGAATGGGTATAAGGTGTATATAATTAAAACATTTTTGTTGTATAAGGGGTCATTCACGTGTGTTCCATTTGTAAAGCTTTTGAAAGCAACATTTTAAAGGTGTTATATTAAATAAACCGTTAACTATCTTCTTAGCTGTCCTGCCATTGGATTGCGGAGCATGGCAGCAGACTAATTCTTTACTTTATCACGTTTGTCCTGCCCTGTGAGTTGCTCTTCTCCTGTCTGCTCCTATTCTAATCTTATAAAAACTCTGGGTGTTTGTTTGGTCTGAGGGAGTTGGGGACAAGTCCAAAGCCAACCGGGTGGGCTTCAAGGTTAAGAGAATTGAACCTGTGTCTCCCCAGCCCTAGCCAGACATTCTAACCACTCAGCCATATTGGCTTTCTTCCTGTGGCATTTAGGGGACAGAGTAATTTTAGAAAAGTGTCAGATTCACATTAGTTTATCCCTTAACAAAGTTTTCATTGATATCCCAAGAAGTTACCGTCAAGATGGATAAGAATAAGAATAAGCTTGAATTCTAATGTCAGGTAATTTTTGAGGTTCTGTTTCTCAGCTTGCAGCCCTGCGGCCATAACATGCTCACACTGGATCTCTTAAGCCATGACCAGATCTTCTGTGTTTCTCTGCTGCCTCCAAAGCACATCAAGACAATGGACGTTAGTTGTCTGTAGGGGTGGGTTCAATTTCTTTATTTATGTATTTCTGCCATTTGATGTTTCTGGTTATTTAAAGGTATCACCATGGAGAGCCTGCCTCAAAAGTTAAGCAGCCATGGGTACTTGCAAAGAGGTTGTTCTGTAGAAAATATCTTCTTGGGCTATAGGCACACTATTTGTGTGTGCATGTCCAGTCCTCTTACAGAATATTGTGTTAAAGTCACAAAGTGCTATCACAGGCTTCCTCAGACAGTTTTTTAGGTAGGTTGCTGCTCTCTATAAAGGAGGATGGAGAGCACCCTAGTTAAGTAATATTTCTTGTTTCTAAGAACAAAAGGCTCAGAACAGAAGTTATATGTGTTTCCAAATGTCTGCTTTCTCCCCACTGTAAGATTCAGTTTTCTAACATGAGGTCACAGAAGCTTAAAATCGGTTACATTTTCCAGCTGAATAATGCTTTTACGGCAGCCTCATGGAGAAGGTGGTTGCTATGCCAGTTTCACAGCAAACAACTAAGCCCAGGGAGAGTGATTTGCCCAGGATCACACAATGAACGTATGGCAGATGTCTTCTCTCCCTCAGCTGGCTCACATTTCATGCAGCAGCTGTGGGTATGCAGTTGCTCCTCAGCATTTGCTGTGTGAATAGAAGAGCTCTATGCCATAGAGCTCAGAGGTGTGCAATAGATTCTTATCTATTTATTACTGCACTTATATCCCACTTTTCCTCCACAGAGCTCAAAGTGGTGTACCTGGATCTTGCCTTCTCGATTTCATCTCCACAAAAGCTTCCCAGCGGGGCTTTCCATAGTGTCTTTTAGAACCAAACTGATTGGGTATAAAATGTGACTTCCAATGAGCCCTGCATCCATTATCTGATCTTCTCAATCTTGCATTTAACCATTCCCACACAGTAAAGTTGTATATCTGAGGTTATTTTCTGTCTGCTTCCCAAAACATTATTTTTGGAAAGTGTTAGAAAACCAGTCCCATAAGATGATATTCAGTGATTGCTTCAGGAAGTGGATTGTGGGAACCATCAAGAGTGGCACACCGATGGGGGGCAGCCAGATTGATTCAGTGTGGGGCACAATCCTCTGGAACAATCTTCATAGAAGAAGAGGCTTGCAGGATCACACCATGGCCATATCTACTCCAGTATCCTGTTCTTACATTGGCCAACCAGATACCCCTGCTTGGAAGTCCACAACTGGGGCACAAGTGCAATAGTGCTCATGGTCCCCTCTGATACTGGAGGCAATATAGCCATTAAGAGTAGCAGCTACAGACAGCCTTATAGCCCCAAAATTGGTTTAATTCCTTTTAAAGCCTTCCAAGTTGGTGGCCATCACCATGGTTGTTTAACCATTTGCACTGTGAAGAAGTAATTTATTTTGCCTATCTTGAAACTCCCAATGTTCACTTCACTGGATAGCTCCAGGCTCTCTCATGAGAGAGGAATAAAACCTGCTGAAGAGAACTAGAGTCCCTCAAGAGTTCTACTTATCTTAATGAGGCTTGCCCAAGAGAACTTGCCCATAGAATAGACCTAAACTTGTTTGAAGAGAATGGGAGCTATATGGATTTTCCACCCTAAGCGACAAAAGGTCATAAGTCACCTTTTAGGACAATGTAACATCAGAAGCAGCCCATGAACATTTAATTTCCAAAGCAGGTGCTGAGTTGATTGATTGAGCCTGACTTCAGCAGTCTGATGCTGTGTTCCTTCTAATCATTGCAGTTTGCATAATACATTTTTACAAAAGCCAGATCTGAAAGTGAAATGGAATTCACCCCACCCTTAGCCTGTCTCAGTAATTAATATAAAACAAAAACAGGGGTGTGTTTCTAATTTAGATTATTTATTTTCCAGCTTGAATTTCCAAGCTGGAAATAAATAATCTAAATTAAACACACCCTGTTTGTTTTATATTAATTACTGAGACAGACGTGAGGTGAGCCATTTCACTTTCAGATGCAGCTGTAAAAATGATATGCAAGCTGCAATGATGGAAGAACACATCAGACTGTAGTCAGGCTCAATCAGTAACTCAGCACCTGCTGAAAATAAATGTTCATGGAGAAAGCCTTTCTGATATTTACATTGTCTAAAAGGTGACTTATGACTGCCCCGTAAACATCATAGCTCCCATTCTGTCAGAGCAAAGTTTGGAGTGCATTCATGGGCAGGATATAACACAGACAAACTTACTCTCGTCAAGATAAGAGTAAAGTACAGGACTCTGGTTATAGCTCAGCGGGATTTCTCTCGTGAGGCCTGGAGCTATCCAGTGAGGCCTCAGGCCAGGCCAAGATCGTCAGCCCCTCTGCAGTGCAGGTGGTTGGGGCAACCATGTGACCTTGAGCTGGAGGCAAAGGAATTGGAAACCACTGAGACTATAGGTGTGCGCCAGCCAGCACTGTGGCCATGTGCCTCAGTATCGGGGACCATGAGCACTGGCCCTTGTGCCCCAGTTGTGGACTGGCAGGGGGCCTCTGTTGGAAGTCCACAACTGGGGCACAAGTGCAATAGTGCTCATGGTCCCCTCTGATACTGGAGGCAATATAGCCATTAAGAGTAGCAGCTACAGACAGCCTTATAGCCCCAAAATTGGTTTAATTCCTTTTAAAGCCTTCCAAGTTGGTGGCCATCACCATGGTTGTTTAACCATTTGCACTGTGAAGAAGTAATTTATTTTGCCTATCTTGAAACTCCCAATGTTCACTTCACTGGATAGCTCCAGGCTCTCTCATGAGAGAGGAATAAAACCTGCTGAAGAGAACTAGAGTCCCTCAAGAGTTCTACTTATCTTAATGAGGCTTGCCCAAGAGAACTTGCCCATAGAATAGACCTAAACTTGTTTGAAGAGAATGGGAGCTATATGGATTTTCCACCCTAAGCGACAAAAGGTCATAAGTCACCTTTTAGGACAATGTAACATCAGAAGCAGCCCATGAACATTTAATTTCCAAAGCAGGTGCTGAGTTGATTGATTGAGCCTGACTTCAGCAGTCTGATGCTGTGTTCCTTCTAATCATTGCAGTTTGCATAATACATTTTTACAAAAGCCAGATCTGAAAGTGAAATGGAATTCACCCCACCCTTAGCCTGTCTCAGTAATTAATATAAAACAAAAACTGGGGTGTGTTTCTAATTTAGATTATTTATTTTCCAGCTTGAATTTCCAAGCTGTTGATTTTTGTTTGGCTGAGTTAAATAGACCTTCCAGTGCAGTAATAGAGGTTTTTTTTCAAGTCTAGGAATTTAATTTTGGCTTCGTAGATTTAAACAACAAAATCTGACCTCTGTTAGCCTCTAGGTGACACACACACACACAGACACACTTAAAGAGAAGAATAGCAACTAGCTTGTATCCTACACACATTTTTTTATTTCATCAAATTTATATATTGCTTGATAGTTAAGAAAAAACAAAAGCCAAACCTCAAAGCATTTACAAAAAGCGGCTTTGTTGAATGCTGCCTGTTGACTTGTAGTGCGGTTTGCTCTTTGTATTGCAACAATATATTGTTATAGCAATATGAAGAGGTGACACCTTTGCCAAGTTCTTGTAGCTGAAGATGTTTCTTTAATGAGTACTGATGACTGAAAGCATTGATGGCTGGTGGCTAATTGTTACCAAATGCACCCCATCTGCTTAATTTGGAGAGGATAATTGTAAATGCTAAAGGAGACAGAAGTCTGAGTTTTGCAGCTAATTGACAATGAGGCGCTATAAAAAGGAGGGGCTCCAGGACTGCATGGCTTTGGACTGATGCTGCTTTAACAGATTAGCAGTGCAGTTTATGTGCTTGCTTGCTTGCTTGCTCTCCTGTGCTCAGCTTGCATATCTGTACGGGATGGGGGGAAGGTTCCTCCTTTCATTCTGCTCACCAACCCCCAGTTTAGTTCCTGTAGCTGTGCTGTGTAATGGGCTGCTTCCATCCTTGAAAGCTTTACAATCTCCACACACCATTCTTTGTGATGTGTGGAGATGCTCCAGAGCACGGCTGCGGAACCTGAGTCCCTCCAGAAGCTGTTGGACTCCCAACTCCCATCAGCCCCTGCAAGTTTAGCCAGGGTATGGGATGATGGGAATTGTAGACCCTCAGAATCTGCAGGGCATCACATTTCCCCACCTCTTCTCCAAAGACCGGTGCCCCTTTGGAATGCTTTATTTGCTCCTGGGTGTATGCTACCATGCCTAAATCAATAGGATTAAGTGTCTCCCCACACCTTGGCTGGAGTATTCTGGAGTAAAAAATGTATCACTCCCATTTTGAAATATTAATTGCTATGAAGTATTGGCGACACAAGGGGGTGCCATTAGAACATCTGTGCAGCAAGCTGAAGCTAAGTTAAGGATAGAACAACTTGCCTGTACTGGCGTGCCCTCTGCGAGGCCTTGCAGACTGTCACTATTTTGCAGGTGGGATTCAGCGGCATACCAGCAAATTCAGGTCGCT